TTTTTTGATCTGAATTTAAACTATAGATTAAATTCTGTCTCTTATACACATCTAGATGTGTATAAGAGACAGGTATAGAAATTCATTATACAATACCGAATAATTCGTTATAGTGTTAACGAAGTTGCTTATAACGAAGCCCTGATCAGCTGGAACCTAGGGTTCGTTATATCGAGAGGGACTGTATATATAATTTTACTTACAGAATCTTTTATTTTTGTCTTTTAATTTCATTATGAAATCACAAAATTCTAATCATTACTTTACAAAATATTTGATATTTTTATTTAAATAGTAATATAAAAAATATATAAATACTAAAAAAAATTAAATGATATTAATAATAAGTTTTTATTTAATTATTGAATTTTCAATAAAATTTTTGATAAATTTACTACTATAAATACACTATCTATTTGTAAAATATCAGAAAGTTTTAATTAATTTAAAGAAGATATTTAGCAGATTCACAACTTATCTTAAAGGATTTACAATTTCTTATAATTTTAATTTGCTTTTAGTTTAATTTTATAAATAAACTGTATTCAAAACTATATTATTTAATAAATCTTAACTTTAAAAACTAGAAAGCAAAATTTTATTTAAGTTTAATGAGTCAAAAATTTTTTTATTTGTAACAAGCTTAAATTTAATAATTTTTGCTATGATCTATCTTCATATGATCATATAACTTAATATATCCATATCGGCGGGTTTGTTTCATTACCTATAATTATTGAATTTTGTTATATGAATAAAAATAAATATTGCGAAGTTAATGCTTAGTATAATGTGCATATAATCCTAAAAAAAAAATTTAAATTTGTCGCAATTTTATTTCCGGCCAGAATTAACATAATTCGGCTGAACTTAATTCTGGCCGAAACTTTATAATATTATTTGCGACGGAAAAAAAGAATACAAAAGAATATGTATTCCGTAAAATATATGTTGCGTCGTGCTGCGGTCTTTGATAATATTAATGGGTTAACATTAAGTGTAAATAAAAAATTGATCATCCAATTGCAAAATTGGTTCATATAAACAAAACATGACGACATAATACATATACAATTTAAGAATCATGTGTAAGTTTGTATCACACTTGATTTCAAAAAAAAATTTTTCTAACGCTAATTTCAAAATAACAAAATGGAAGAAGATAGCACTTATCCAACAAGTCGTTTTATTAAACTTTATGATAAAAAAAGAACTTTCTATTACAAAATCATAAAAGAGGGAACATATCCTCTTACCAATCAACTTCATTACACCAGAAATCCAAAACATCCAATTCCTCACAATTATATTGTTGAAACTCAATATGGAAAAGCAAACCATATTGTAAAATGTTCAATTAATTATGTGGAAGGAAAACCTTTATTTAAAGTCAACTTTGGAGAAAATTTTGCGAAAGAAGTACATTCTTTAGAATCTTCAACAGAAGCCGCCTGTAAATACTATCAGATATATTTGATGAATTTTTTTATTATCAAATGTTAAATATGAATGCTAAAACAAATAATTAGGAGTTCAAAGAAGCTACTAATAAAGGAAAAATATCTGGCCTTCTACTTTTTGGTCTCAAGTTACTTAGTGTTGAACGAGTGCATAAGTCAGTGACATTAAAAATTCAACCTTTTAGTGAACTTAGCAACACCACAAGACGCCGAAAGATGCTATGCTTATCACAATGTATTTTGGATGCTGTTGAAGAAGAAAAGGAAAACATGTTCCATCCAACTGACCAAATAAAACTTAAGCAAGTAAAATTTGAATCTTATAATGATTTATATGATATTAATTTTGAGCAGTTAGATATAATGGGAGAAATAAAAAGAATTGAGGCAGTAGTTAAATCTTTAGACAGAAATCATATTTCAAGAGAGGCATATCGATCTTTAGCGCGAATTGAACATAGTATACCACGTGAAGAGGCAGTATCAACTACACGACAAAGAATCAATATAGAAATGAGAAAAAATATTCCATTAACTCTTGTTGATTTATTACAACCAACTATTTTTGAGCCAATTACAGAATAGCCTCATATTACTGATAATGCAGTTATTACAAATATGTTAGAATCAATTGGTAAAGGAGGACAACGGCGTATTACAAATATTCTCAATTACATTGTACCGTTATATATAGAACGAGGAATCTTAACTCCTGAGACATTAACTTTATACATTAGAATTTCAGGTGATGGACGCAATGTTGGTCGCAAGGTTAAACATGTTATGGTAACAATGACATTATTAAATGACCTTAATGGTTTACAAAAACCAGATAACAATTATACATTAGTCTTATATCCAGGAGCTGAATCATATGAATCTCTTAAAAATGCCCTAACTCCTTTAATTTCTGACTTGTCTATATTAAAAGAAAAAGGATTTGATCAAATAGGAGGTAATCACTGGCCGGTTGAACTATTTTTTAGTTCAGACTGGAAATTTCTATCAATATGTCTAGGAATAAAAGCCGCTAACGCTCAACATTTCTGTCCATGGTGTGATTGTAGTAAAGATGAAATTAACACTACAACAAAAACAATAAATAAGTCAATGGATGAGATTAAAGATAATTATAATCAAATTAATGGTCATATTAAAAAACCACTATTTTATATGATACCTTTACAAAACTGGGTATGTGACGAATTACATGTTTTTTTACGAATAACAGACAGATTATGGGAATTGATGCTTTCTGATCTTCGTCGTGAAACAACAAATGAAGAAATTTGGAAAGAAAAAATATTATTAGAAATGCAGAGACTTAAGATAACATTTCAATTTTGGCGTGAAAAAAATAGTAACAATCTATCATATACTTCCCTTATGGGACCAGACAAGTTAAAAATCCTGAAAGAATTTAATCTTATTGCCATTTTTCAGTCAACAGAAAGAGCTATACAAATCCAAGAATTATGGAATCAATTTAATGAACTGTATATCTTGATGCAAAACATGCAAACTACAGGTGAAACTTTTCATTATAAGGCTCAAACTTGGCTAAATGCATTTTTAGCTCCTTCTAAAGGACATCCCAACAGGAGTAATTTTGTTAGAGGAATGTATCGAATTCAAGATGTAACTCCCTATATTCATGTATTGGTTAATCATGTAGCAGAGTTTATTGAAATTCATCATGAGTTTGGATTAACTGCTTTTTTATGTTCAGCGGTGGAAAAGAAAAACCACATGCAAGTGTGCCTTTATTTTCGAAACACATTAAAAGATGGGGAACACGAGAATTCACGAAAATCTGCAATTGTAGAAATGTTAGAACATGAAATCAGCAATTATATTTTGCGTTAAACGAAGTACCAAATTTTTTTGAAAAACCAAAAAAATACAGAATAATTTAGTTTAATAATTAATTTCATAGTTTTTTTTATTTAAATAAAGAGAAGATCACAATAATAACTGACATATATTTACAACAAGATGATTTTTTTATTTATTTGTATATGCAAAATTGATTTATTTCTATAAAAAAAATCTATATTTGACATTGATCCAAAAAAAACGAAATTGGACGGATCCCGCCTCAAACTTATGATTTTCTTTGTCTTTACCACCCGTCATTTGCCATTTTACAGTCATTTCCCCATTAGCTGATAATTTCATTTTAGTTTTTTGTTTGTGATTATCATCTCCATTCTCAGGTACATACAAACGAACAAAACTCAATTGCCCCTTTCCATAATTACGTTCTCCCCACTTCTCATCATCTAATATTTGCCCAATTTCATCAAATGCATTTTCCCCCTTGAAACTACAAAAATAAAAAGATTCACATGGAGAATAACGTGTTATATGATCTTTGAAAACACCAACAAAAGCATTTTCACTACAATGTAATGAAAAGGTTTGTTCTCCAACTGCAGTATAATTGTTCCTAAGTCGCTTTTGTAGCTTCTTAATTATAGCGCTTTTTAAATAGGAGAGTTCTGAATTAGAAATTTGTTGAATATGTGATGGAAGTTTATTGTAAGATATATGTTTTAGTGTCTCATGTCGTTGTAACCCTGAACGAGTTTTAAACCCTTTGGTACGCCTTGTACAGATTGAACAATAGAACTTACCGCCCATATGCATATCTTAAACAAATTTCATTAGATTTTTATTTTGATAAGTTAAATTGAATAATAATATTAATTTAATTCAAATTTTCAAGTCAATTTATTATTTTATTGGATATTTAATTTAACTTGATCTGATTTGGAATTTTAATCCTGATGAAAATCATGAAAGCTTACAAAAAGTAAAATAAATATTAAAAATATTTCTTATAAAAAGAATTGAAAAAAACATTTTTTAAAAAAATTTTAAAACAAATATTTTGAGATTATCATTTCACTTTCTAAATCAAATAAAACCTATTTAAATTCTGTTAATTGTAATTACATGTTATAAAAATAATAGCTTTAATATAATTTTTAATATCAGCAAGATATACAAAAACATAACATAAAATATAATATAATTATATAGTTTATTTTAATATAAAAGTTATTGAAAATTATACAAACTGTATATATATATTTTAATTTAAGAAAAATAGGATATTTAATTATTTATTGGTGCTAAAAGTTTATAAGTTTATATTTGATAATTATGTAATTTTTTTCAATTTTCTAAACTGATTCTATATTATATAATCTGAAATTCAGCCAATAAAAAACTGGAATTTTTGTGTAAAGGACTAATAAAATGCAATTTTTGAAAATTTTTATTATGGTTAAAATAAAATATAAGAAAAAGCGGATTTTAGCAGCTACTATTTTATAAAGGTTATATATTGATAAAAATTTTTTTTTATTTGATTCAGATTATAATAATTTGGGTTAGCAATATCACAATGCATAAAGATAGCCCAAATTATCATAAGTTTAGCTAATATATTTTGTTTCAAATTTGGACCAATTATATGAAAATTATGCAATTTTAAATATAACTTTTTATATAGATCTTCTTTCAAAAATCTGACTGATAATTTGATAAAGCTTATTTCAAAGAATAAGTTACCAGTTTATTTTTCTAAATTGTATTTTTTTTAAGGAGTTGAAAGATTTTTAAGTGTTACATTTTTATTGTTGAGTATAGACTTCTGTCACTATATATAAAATAAAATATAAAATATAATAAAAATAAGAGTGTTGCCAGGGGAAAATTAACCAGGTTAGGAATTACATTAATTCTGGTACAATTCAGTTTTGAAGCTTGACTAGGAAACGTAATTCTGCCCAGCGGTTAATTTTCCTCTGGTTAATTTTCCCCTGGTTAAATGTAGTTATTCTCTAAAAATAATATAACTAAGATAATAAAATTAAAATAAATATAAACAAATAAATATATATAATAATATATAAGTGATAAATATAATAGAAATAATAAGAGAATAAACCTAAAACAATATATATATATATATATATATAATAGAAATAACTCTTGATCTACATAACATAATATTTATTTGCCAGTTAAGTCAGCACCGCGTGGTGGGTGTGCCGTGACCTCTACGGGATCAGTATTTGGATCAAAACGGAAATATTCTATAATACCTCTAGTAGTTTCGTATTCAATGCCATCATCTTTTCTAGCTGCTTCATTATTTAATTCCATTGATTGGGACGGGACATCGAAATTACTGCCTTCAAAGAGAGCTTCCATAAAATTCGATCCTGGCGCTTCTCTATATTTACCTAAAAAAAAAAATAATTCTAATTTAATAATAAGAAATAAAAAAAATAAAGAAATAAATTATACATATTCCATATCAATATATAATCTTCGATTTGCTTTGGATATAGTTGATTTAATCAAACCAAAACTGGGTTCCTAAAAAGAGAAATTTTTAAACTTAATAAATGGATAAAAATATAATTTGAAAAATATTTTGACACTCACATCATTAAGTTTAACTGGTTTTCCATTTGTTGGACTATATAACTTAAATTTCGTACTTTGATCGGCTATTCCAAATAAATTACAGAATTCGTTGAATATATCATCATTTATAGAAATTTTAAAGTTTTCTTTAATAAGCCTTTTATCCATCATATTATTCCATTTAACTGATCCTTCTTTTGGAAGCATATTTGGTGATTCTTCTTCAAATAATAATAAATGTTTTACTGTTACACTTTCAGATGCAGGTCTGCTAGCATTACGAAAATTTCTTGTACTAGTAGTTGGCCCAACTACGATGGAAATCTTGAGAGTGACCACAATAGACACACTTATACGGAATTTCTTCTTTGTAAAATTGGCAACGACATTCTAGGCATAGTCCGTACGGATGTTCCTCCGTATTTATATTTGAGAATGGAATTTTATGAAATCCAATACTGTGACTGCAGAAAAAACATACTTCTTTCCCAGCTTGTACTTTATAACGTTGGCAATTGCATTTACTACATTTACTATCTTCCATCAAAATAAAACTTTTAAAGATGTGAAATAAAATATAGGAATTATATGGGAAAAAACAATGAAGGTAATAACGGGTCGAACAGGTCGAATGTGTTAAAAAAAAAGTTTTTTTTTTTATTTTTTTAATTAAAAACGTCAAGTTCGATGTTTTAACTTTTAAAAAAAAACTTTTTTTTTTAATTATTTTATTTTTTAATTTAAAAAAATGGGAGGTTTTTTTAATTAACCTTTTTATTATTCGCTTGCACCGAATCAAAAAAAAAAAAAAGAATTTTGAACCATTTTTATAAAAACATAAATTTTATAAATTTTATAAAGTTATGAGTTGTAAAAAGATTATATATATATTATATAATTTCACAACACATTTTATGCAGATTATCTAAGGGTAACCTTTTTTGAAAAATGTGTTACTTTCAATGTTGAGCAATGATACATATTACTTAATATAGAAACCTCGTTTAAAGTTCCATTGTATGGACTGCGTACAGATCTACAATATATTTCGCTATCTATAAGTATGAAAGTAGTAATGTATCCGAAATAGTTTATAACAAAAAAAACAAGTATTTTGGAATAACAACTAATTTATTCAAGGAAAAGAAAAAAATGCTGTTGTTTCTCATACATTAATTCAAAGTGAAATTTATCACCAAAAGAACTCGAGATGAAATTACAGAACAGAAGATAGCAGAAATTCTTCAAAGTCTTGAAAGACTGTTGGGAAAAACTTTATTAAAAAAAATTTAGAAGACAAATCATACAATTTATTTAGTGATAATAAGCATGTTTATTGTCAAAGTTGTCAAAAATTAATAATTTTGCACCGCTTTAACATATTATCATTCCAGCACATATTGAAAAATCCCACTTCTCAAAATCATGCATCTCTAAATACATAAATCTGATGCACGTACAATGTAAAGTCCTTTTTTTTATAGTAGTTATTAATTATTTTAACATATTATTTTTCCTTAACTTAACCCTGGTTTTTAATAGTTGATTTCTTTATTTTTTACACAAATCATGAATTAAAGATAGTAAGTTTTATAATAAATATTATAAAACTTGAAAATTTTTTAATATTAAAAAAAAACCATTTACTATATTTCTCTTTTTTTTTTATAAGCAAACAAATTTTTAAAGCAGTTATATACTAATTATAGTTTTAAATATATAAACTAATAAGATATAAATTTATTAAACTTATATATATTTTTTTATATTTATATAGTAAAAAAAAAAATTTGTTTATAATTTATCTTTTTTAAATTTTTTTTATCAAAAAAAAATAAAATTTATTAATAATTAAAATTGGAAAAAAGTATTCTTTTTTTTTTTTAATTTAAAATACTATAAATTTTAATTTTAGTTATTATATAAAATTTTATAAATTTAATATAGTTTATAAATTATTTTTAAAAATTAATATTCTTATAAAAAATTACATTTATACTACTTTTAAATAATATAAGATTTAAATAACATTTATATAAATTATTAGGAATATGTTTTTTTCGCACCTGCGATATATCGCATCTCCCTTTTTTGGTAATTTTTATATATTAATTATGTCGATCATTTTTATCACATGACTTCGTTAAGATTTCCCATTTTTTTAAAAAATCCTTACATGAGACCTTATGCACTTACTATGTAC